GGTTATATGGACCCCCATGGACGGGGCGCAGATGGTCTTCAGGGTCGCGTCGTCCATCTGGCGCAGCTCGTCCGTGAAGGGTCCTGGACATCAATGAATTTTACGCGCGTCGCCGTAAAATTGCCGTGAAAATTTCAAAGTTGAGAAAAAATGCATGCCTCTGAAGCTCAGCATGAAACATGCGTACCAATGAGGACGCAGCCAAACGTGGAGTCGAATGTGTTGAATAGACAATGCAACGTGACGAATATGCCTTTAAATTATTCGTCTCAGAACTAATTGTCGGCAATTACGAATGTCTTAAATAGGCGATCGATTGCGTTGAATAGGCACTTAATTATTCGTATCAGAACTATTTGCCGGCGCGTTTATTTGAGAATATTTGACAATAAACACATCTTACCTGTGGCATTGATGACACATTTGGCCCTGACACCGAACTCCCTGCCTGAGGTCTCGTCACGACATCGTGCGCCGCAGATCTTCTCATCTGTCGAGCCGTCGGGGTTCACGACGGACTTCTTCAGGAGCTTCACGACAGATGTGTAGTTAGTGGTGATGGCCCCCAACCTCGTGGCCGTGAGGGCGATGGATAAATTCATCCTAGCATCGTTGTGTTGGCCATCGTAGTAAACAATTGCGCCCACAAGCTTGTCGCTTTTAAGCATAGGGAATAATTCAAGAGCCTTTGCTTTGGAAATAGCATACGATGATTTGACGCACTTGCTGCCTGCGACCAAGTCGTACATTTTAATGCCGGCCCAAAAATACGGCAGCTGCCACCATTTATACACGGGCAACATAATGGGCAGCGGGTACGATAAATGCGGAGCGATGTCCAGTAAATTGGCGCGTTCATGTAAAGCTTCCTTGACCATCTTGTATTGCTCGAGGTCAAGACCCAGGATGGCTTTCTGTAGGTACCGCACTCCACCGTGGATAAGCTTTGTTGACCTGCGAAATAAAATAATTACGTTATAGCGAGCTACGTATACATGACGAGCTATATATAGCGTGTCTCTTATACACATCTAGATGTGTATAAGAGACAGCTGTATTGTTTTGTGACTTGCTAAGAAGAGTTCAACCGTGTCATGTGACTCGCCCCTGAGTCATGACATTGGCTGTACTGTTTTGTGACTTGCTAAGAAGAGTCCAACCGTGTCATGTGACTGGCCCTTGAGTCGTGATATCGGCTGTACTGTTTTGTGACTTGCTGAGAAGAGCTCAACCATGTCATGTGACTCGCCACAGAGTCATGATGTCGGCTGTACTGTTTTGTGACTTCTTAAGAAGAGCTCAATCATGTCATGTGACTCACCCCTGAGTCGTGATATCGGTGACTTTTTTTCTTTATGACTTACTGGTTGTGTGACCAGAACATGTCATATGGTCGCTCCTGTCGTAATAGGGGCTGAGTGTGCCGAGACCACATATATGCTCTCATGATTTTCTATTACCGTATGCTAATTTNAAAGTTAAAAACAACAATTAGAATTCGGCTGAAATAATGGGAAAGAGAACATGCTTTAGTATTATATCTCTTGCATAAGACATCGTATAGATAACCCTGTATATCAAGAACACGTCGTTATCATGAAGACATTGAATACTAGTTAACTAAATCATCCGTAAGAGAAGTAAGAGTTGTCTTGTCTAAACAGCGACTCACTTTTTTCCCTTACGTGGGTCAACCTGACCCACTTTGGCTCAGCCCTACACTGTTAGAAAAATTACCGTTAACGGTATTATCGGCGTTTCAGTCACCGTTTTTATTCTAATTTAACACTAGAAATCCGTAAAACATCTGATAAAAACGGTGAAACAGTTTATTTTCACGGGGCGACCGGCCACTAGAATGCCAATGGGACCGTTTTTTCTAACAGTACCGGTATATGTTCGCTATTTACTCGTGCTGTACGAAAGTAGGTCACTATTTGGTCAATGACCCAGTCAATTTCATGAGTATAGCTAAGTTTAAACGCCACCTCCGCTGCGTTCAACAGAAATAACATTCTTGGTGGCGTGTTCCTCCGCCATCTGCGCCAGCTGTGCGAAGCGGGAGTGAGAGATCGAACCGCTCTTCAGGGCCGCCATCATCTGAAAACAAATTATAAACGATACCATCATCTATATATTTATATTGTATATATTTTTATATATATACACAATATAAAATATACACCATCTATGAATAAATATACAAAATCTATAAATATATATACAATCTATGTATATTATACATAGATTATCTCAATATATTTGGTACATAAATTATCTCAAAATATTTGGTACATAGATTATCTCAAAATATTTGGTACATAGATTATCTCAATATATTTGGTACATAGATTATCTCAATATATTTGGTACATAGTTTATCTCAATATATTTGGTACATAGATTATCTCAATATATTTGGTACATAGATTATCTCAATATATTTGGTACATAGATTATCTCAATATATTTGGTACATAGATTATCTCAATATATTTGGTACATAGATTATCTCAATATATTTGGTACATAGATTATCTCAATATATAAACATTAATCGAAATTGTATTACAACGCATTAGAAAATAATACATAAAGAACCTTAACGTACTGCACGATAACCAATTCAACATAAACTGCTTCGGGTCATTCGCGAAGAACGTTCAAACTAAAATGCTAAAAAATTATTAAGATACCTGAAGATACTCAATTATATAAATCGTTATGAAAATTTTCAACGTCTAGATATCAAAAGGTGAAAGCAATGCAAACAAATCTATATGAAATGATCGGTGATTCATAGCCAACAACTAAGCTGCTAAGTATGCAGCCTAATTACCGACTGTGCTTTGTTCACAGCGAATTATGACCATTTTTTTGTGGACGTTGCGGGACATTCACTAGGAATTTCATTTCCACAATACTCGCGAGTGAAATTTGTCCAAGGTTTCAGATACAAAATATCAAGTCAATGGAATCATCGCCCGACGGTCAGAAAGCATTAACTACCAGCCTTAGCTCCAGCCTCCTGATAATGGAGTACTTAATAATGAACCATATATGGTCCTGTAGAAGCCTGTAAAAAAGACGGCCGAGAAAGAAAACATACCTGAAGATATTCCTCGAGTTCGACTTGCCCGTTGAGATTTAGATCAATTTCTTTTAAAATCTCGTGTAGCTTTTCGCCCGGTACATCTTGGCCTCGTACCTTTAAAAGAAATACAGAAGACGCGGCTCAGCAAGATATTTATTACACTCAAAACCAAATAAATCAAATAAATACCTCATACATCGAGGTATGAGTTTCGAAATTTGAGATTAAAGTGGACTCTAATTACAACAGCCGGTACCGATCGATGTAATTTAAGCTGGTATTACGTTATGAATCGCAGTTCACATGAACGAATTATATTAAAAATCAATCATGCTGCAAAAAAATATTAACCAAAATAAAGGCAGACCAACGGTGAGACAAATTCGTCTACACATAAAAACATAGCGTCTTTTTTCCATAAATGAGAAATGCGCTAAAAAACGGAGGCGACGTCTCTTCATGCCTGCTCGTTGGCAGGTAATCGTGTGGCGCTTCGACGAATGACTTTTGTACGAGTCGAAGACATTAAGGGATTGCAGAGACCTTGACTGACAAGATCGTAGTCGCGATTCGAGAAAAATCGGCCAAGGAGATATGCCAATAACCTAACCTAACTTTATCTAACCAAACGTTACCTAACATAGCTCAACGTTACCTAACCTAACCCAATGTTACCTAACCCCACCAAGCGTTACCTACTCTTACGGCTTACCTCGAGTGATCTGCGCAGGTCGTTGAGGGAGATGTATCCTTTTTTGTCGGTGTCGAGGGAGTTGAAGCGCTTTACATAGTCCGAGATTTCCGATTTGGTCAAATTGATGGGAATTTTTTCCCGCGACGCCCGGTTGACGTTCTGGCCCATCTCGCGCTGCAAGAACTGCCGAGCCAACTCCAACTGCCTCTGTTGGGATACGCATGCATACAGTTATACAGAACAGATATATATAATGCGCATATATTTGTAAAGAGAGCAGGAGATGACGTGGTGATCCAGCGTCTGGGAATCTCTCTGCTTCGTTCTTGATGTCTTATTAGTTTGGCCGCAGAATACCAAGCTAGGATATTCTTTGTCTGGTACTAAAATTCTGTAAATTACGTGTCGTGTACACAAATATGTATACGAAACGATGCTGCTAATAAAAGCCAAATTTCTTAAGAAGATCCCCTCTAATTAACGTCTCACTCAAATTATAATTTGTTACTACACGGCCGGCGAAGCTTTCGTCATCACGCTCCTCCTCTGATCGTTTGTACACACTCTTATTTTTTTAATGTACGAGATTCACTTCTATTAACTATCTCCTTGTTGGACCATTCTACACATTATCGGACAGCTTGTACTCACCTTCTTTTCCTTATCGGACCACTTGCTTTCACCTTTTTTCTCCATGTCGGACCACTGGCACTCACCTTCTTCTTGTTGGACCACTTGCTTTTACCTTCTCCTTGTCGGACCACTTGCTTTCACCTTCTTCTCCTTGTCGGACCACTTGCTTTCACCTTCTTCTCCATGTCGGACCACTTGCTCTCACCTTCTTCTCCGTGTCGGACCACTTGCTCTCACCTTCTTCTCCTTATCGGACCACTTGCTCTCGCCTTCTTCCCCTTATCGGACCACTTGCTCTCACCTTCTTATCCTTATCGGACCACTTGCTCTCACCTTCTTCTCCTTATCGGACCACTTGC